TGTGATTTGGAATCTACTTTAAATCTCAAGGATTTCCACTTCCATGGCTTTCAGAAATGCTGATTAGACGGACAATATTTTGGATTTATCTACACTTTCACAAGGATTTGACAAGAAAGACTATTTTCACAGAATATTTTAATCCAAGAAATAAGTAATCTGAAGAAATAAGTAATAAACCGAGCCGACTGAGATAAACCGAGCAGAACCGAGACAAAATTTACCTAGACAAAATCCATAAATGTTAATCATAAAACGCTTTTTAAGTACAAACGAGATCCATAAAATGAAGAAATAGTAATTTTACAAGTACGATATGTCTGATGAGAAAATGTGAGATCCTAAAGTTTTGATAATGCTCAATGAAGTCCTGGAAAGACGCAGATTTTTCAAAATCACAAAAAAAAGCATCGGCGAGGCAGTGCAAATCGACTGGACATCTTTAATGAAGATATGAAGATTCGGCAAAAAAAGCAGTACTGGACGAGCTGGTTCTGGTAGCTTAGCACTGTTGTTATTTTCCACAAAGATGACACTTACAGTGATTGATTCCTTCAATCGTCATTTGTGTGTTTCTTAGTAGTTGGTAGGTTTCCAAACAGCAGTTGGCAAGTTTCCAAATGTCAATTAGTTGATCAGTAATACATAGATCCATGCATTTGCTCAATAAATCTTCCCTTCCCAGCAATGGACATTCCATCGTTTGGCTAATATCGCCGGAGACGATAGGGTACCTAAAAAGATTAAAAAAAAAATTACGAATCCTTCCGGGTTCAGCTCCGATGTTGCCTGGATTAAAACATTCCCCGGGAACAAGCAACTCCAGCCCCTCTGCTCTGTATTTCACCCCCTCTGCAAGCTCGCCACGAACGCAATCTGAAAATACCAGCACCAAATCAACTCCTCCTTCCTCTGCTTTACCTCGTAATTATTTTTTCACTCTCTTACCTAAAAGTCACTAACTTTGCCTGGAATGTTGGATCTCGGTGCTTAGTGAGCTTGAACTGCATAACTTTAGAAGCTTAAAAGTTACTAATTGCACCTGGAATCTGGGATCTCGGTGCTTAGTGAGCTTAAACTGCATAATTGTAGGGAGTTTTTAAAGTTTTTTTTCCTTTCCCTTACATTCCTTTCTTTCCTCTTGATCCCTGAACACCACGACCGTCATACTGACGAGGTCCAATTGTGGTGTTGAGCCAAGACGTATATGACTTAATGGAGCGAAACGTCTTAACTTAACTGTTTTTCCTAGTATTTTTCTCCTACTACTTTTTCCTCTTTTTATACACTTCCCTAACTTTGGCATCCATCAACATGGATGCTACAAACGGCTTACTAACCACGCCTGAAATGTTGGATCTCGGTGCTTATTGAATCTGAACTGCATAACTGTAGAAGCTTAAAAGTTACTAAATGACCTAGAAGCAGCTCAAATTCACCAAGCACCAAGATCAAACATTCCAGGCGCTGCCAGTACTTCTCAAGCTTCTACATTTACGCAGTTCAAATTCACTACGCGTCGAGATTTAACATCCTAGGTACAACAATCACAACCTGCTGGACCAGTACCATTGCCAATAGCAACCACCAGCTGGCAAAGGCTGTCACTGAGTTCCTCCTTTACAACGGTACTGCCCAGACGGACAATGAGACGGCCAGATTGTTTGGAAAATGTGACGAGGAGCTACGAGTTTTTCTTCCAGTCCTGTCCAAATCTGCAGTTTCTGATTCACAACAGAAAAATGCAGCCTGTTTGAAAGACAGTAACGGGGTTCCGCTCCCCCTCCCCCTCCTTCCCGGAGATTCCTTAATAAAAAGCTGATGCCAGTTTTGATTTCTTGATGCGCACTATTACCAATTTGCCCCCGAAACGAATAAGTGAATCGTAGATGGACAAAATATCCCATCGGTGGAGTCGAACCATCGAATTCCAGCATGAAAGCAATGCTACTTGCCACTGCGCCGTGCCAGCCAGTTATTTGGGAATATGAACAGAAAATTCAAAAAAACAAGCCAAAACCAGTCTACCTGACTGTAACAATATGCCAGTAATCGATTAACGTGTGCGTCATATTCGTCACGTCGTTGTTTTTTCTTTTCTTTAAATTCCTGGGTTCTGTGAACACGTCTATAAACAAAAAAAGAAAGAAATAACAAAAACAACGTTAAAGCATCAAATAAATATAGGGCAAAATGAATATATATGACAGATCTCATGGATCAAAATCCTAATCCCTCCCCTTATAAAAGGTAAAGGTTGAGGCACTCGAAAATAGTCCAAGTGGTAGCAAATGTCAGCAATAACTGTAGTTGGCAAGGTTGCCGATAGCCCCTCCTTGAGCATAGGCGGATCAAGAACGGACTCCTGGAGGGAGAGAGGGGAGCGATGAGCGAGGAGGGGAAAGGGCAGGGGGTAAGGCAACGGGGGAGGGGATTGGAGAAGAGCCCCCTTCCACCCTGGAATCATGCAAAAACTAGGAACAGAGTTGTAACAGTGCTATCTGAAGTTACTTTAGTTTTAATCTTAGGCCCGGAGTTTTGCAGCACTGATGTCTGAATCGCTAGGGAGAAGGCTAATGAGAAAGAGGGAGGGGGCGGAAGGCTGGAGAGAGAAGGAGGGGGCGGAAGGCCCTCTGCCCCCACTCCTGAATCCGCTTATGCTTTTAAGAATTCCTTAGAAATAATCTAGTGGCGATTTTGACATTTTATGTAGAGTGATGAAGCAAACTGCACTCCCTCTCACCTAACAGTCTCACGTTTCATCGCTTGGGGCGGAAAAGCGCAAATCTCTCGGTCCATTCGAGCAAGAACTTTGATAGCATCCCGATTTTGCGTTTTACCAATCAAAAGCTGCTTAGCAACATCACGTTTTTGGGCAGCTAAAGCCCGGCGTCGTGCTGATGCCTCTTTGATGCACATTTGACGTGCAGTGCTTCGCCGGATGAATTCTTCCCTTCGTTTCTGCTGCACACTCTAAATAAAAGAAAAACAGATACCAATATTCTGTTAATTTTTGCAGTTACTCAAAACAAAAAAAAAAGAAAAAAGCAAATATTCAGGTAGAACCAATTTTCAGCGTTCTCTTTTCCCCTCTCCAGCCGTCCCTCCCCCGTTTCGTTCCATTTTTTTTTCAAAAAAAAGCATAATTTCTGATCAAGAAGATAAAAAAATCTGACCAAGACAAAAAAAAAATCGAGAAACTATGAAATAATAGACCAGAAGGATTGTACTCAGTCGTCATATGTAAGGTGATATTTTACGGTGCAAACTGCCTTTCATCGTTTAGATGCAAGTAGTAAGGTGATACTTTACGATGCACTCTGTCTGTGTTTCATCCCTTAGCTGTAAACGCAGACCGGACTATGCAAAATGGATACTGTCGGGAAATCTTGCACAGTAATTTTGTCGAGGGGACGCCTGTATTTACAAGTAGTTACGTGGAAGAGATTAAGAAAAAAATTCGGAATTTTTTACAAAAATATTCGAAATTTTTACAGAATTTGATGATCCCTTCAGCGGATGAGAGGACCACCAGTAAGACGGTCATCGATAAGCGCAGAACTGGTCAGAGCAACTGGAAAAGTTGTCAGCTGTACAGATTACGAACAAGAATATGAATCTCAGCTACTG